TGCCCTGTTGCTAGGTTCTCTTGGTATATGTACCTTGGGAGAACGATGGATTATACAATTCGTAATTAAAAGTCTATTCTTTAAGATCTTTAGAATGTAGTTTAATACTTTTAATTAATTAAAAATGAATATTATAAGGATTTATCTTTATTTATTTAAATTTTATCCTGTTTTTGTATCTTTAATTCCAATTTATTTTAAATCCCATTTCATTTGACTGACTCTTTATCCATTTGTGTATAAAAATCTTGATTACTGGACCTAAATGCGGCAACTGCGGCCATCATTCCTTCGGATAGCGTTTTGTCCACACACCTTTCCGACTTTAATTTGCATTTGTCGACAGCAGCATAAATTTATAATATTATCTGCGCCGTCCTGCCCGCTGCACAAATGCATTATGATTTGATATAATTAATAATTATAATGCCGGGCGCAACATTATTTTCAATTATTTTGCACTTTCGGGGTCAGCACCGAGCCCCGCCCTCCGAAGCGGGCCCAAGGCACCCCACAAACCAATACTGGGCCAATAAGTCAGACCGGCCAGGCCTAGGTCCTTTCAATTTAGCCAGTCATGTAAATTTAATTATAACTGCACATTTAATTAGAATACAAAAAAGTCCGGCCAAGCCCCTTATTACAAATTATGATTTAATGTTGCAATTTGCAATTACAGAGCGCCCAGCCCTTCCTTCGAGCTAGTCCAGCTAGACACAATAGAATAAAAAATAATGTTCAAATATTGATTACATTTCGGGCTGAAGGCTAAATCCAACAGAAACATAAAGAGGTGAATGTGCATCTGCTTAGTGATTTCAATATTGATGAAAGTTTAATTGAATTTATGACCAATAACGATACTGGATGGATGGATGTGTGGCTGCCAGTTGGAAGATCGAATTATGGACCAGATTGTGATACTGTTTTACATTTCCAATTAGCTAATGTCTCCAAGTGGAGGCTGCATTCGCCACATGTTTGAGTCCCACTTCCCCACCAAACTGACCCACTAATGGGACAATGGGAGAACTATTATCAGCCCGTTTAACAGGCAGAACTGATAAGGCGCACCTTACTATATATGTATACGTAGTACTCCCCGGACAACCCACATAGCGCTTATCTAATCGCTCACATTTTCCCCAAGGGACCCAAAACAAAACAGAATGAGACCCCAGAGCAACTTCTGGATGTTTATCGTGCAACTGGCATTGCAGGTGGCTCTGCACAGAGAAAAATACTCCTCCCATTAGCCGTATGGAGATGTTATTTGTTAAACATTATGGACTAGGACGTTGGGGAAGTGCGCTCCTTATCTAGACCCCGAATCGTGACCCGAATCACAGCCAACTGCATTGAGCGCAAATAAAAAGAAGGAATGAAAGTGTGTAATCGCCAAACAAACCTGACACAGTTAAAGACTGACAATGAGAGTTTGTAGCGCAGTTTTAGTGGCATGAGGCAGGGGGCATGTGGCAGGGGGGATGTGGGAAAGCTGAGTCAATCAAGCGGGCTTCTATTCACGTCAAATTAGTCGATTACTGTTTTGTGCGAACACCACTCGCATGAGTAACAAACACAAAGCTGTGGTGAATCATCCTCAGTAACAGCAGTGGAATAAATAATTCATATAAATATTATTTACAGAGAAATGGAAAAACAATAAATGCAAAATTACAGGGAGGGGGAAGAACCCCATTCGTTCAGATTTAAAATTGTAATCATGTAGTTGTTCGAATTCAAAACATATTCGAAGTACAATTAGGACGCCTGATCAGTGAGGCACCCTCGAAACTACCTTTCTCCTCTGCAGTTGGCTTGCCCTATTTTGGCCACGTTTTCGCGCTCGTCGTACGTGCTCATAAAGACGACACAGTGGGGCCCGAAATCGATCAAAAGTTCGCAGAGACACTCGTTTTCACTGGCAGACCGAAAAACAGCAGCGGAAAACGGGAACCGGGAAACTTTTCCATAAGCTGTGCAACTTTTTGCCGGTTTTCCTGCTGCTGGCGCTGCTTTCCTTTCATTTTATTGTCTTTTCAACTGTTTTGTCGAGCGAAAGGGGCAGAATAAGTAGGGTAGATCCCCATTATATTTAATTTGCCTGGCATACGCTTTGTCAATATCGCACTTGGTACCCCGGACCCGAAATTCCAGCCCGGCCCAGAGCTCTGACAACTTCCTGGGAGGCAAACACATACACACGACACACAAAAGATGCATGCAAAGTTGTTGTTGACATTGTTCAGTCATTTTTCAGCAAATTAGTCATGAAATTGTGCATTTCTATTTGTCTCGCCGAAAATGCAATATTTGTGAATGCAATTCCGTGGCAAAATGGCGCGAATGTGGAAAATGCAAAATTCAATTGAAATCCCATCCAACGCAGTTTTTGGGCCCCAAATCGGATTGGTGAGGGCTAAAGCCAATTTGTGGGCCGTCCACAAAAACTGAAAATTAATATTAAAACAGAAATATAACAAAATCCCTGGAGTGTGGAACAAAAAGTACAGCGTACATGACAATCAAAGAAACTATGAAGAATCAGGAACTCTTCGGAGAGACCCCTAAGCGATTCCTCTTAAAAATGCTGCAACTTCGGCTTTTCATTAAGGAAATAACTCCCGAAAAGCCAAAGCCCCTGGCGCGATAAAGCTTTTGTGTCCTGCCGGCCAGGCCAGAGCTCCTTTTTGCAACGTTTCAGTTACTGCAGAGTCCCAGTCGGTGGCTGGACGGGTCCTTTTTGTGTTTTTGTTGTGCTGACCAGGTTGGAAGCAAAAAGCCGAAATGAAACGATGTTATGAATATGAATGAGAGACAGAGGAGTTCTCCTGCCTTACGCTGCGATTCCCATTGCAATTACCATAGGTAGAAAAAGAGTTGAAAATTATGTATGTCACTGGCGGAGCGTGGGCGGAACGGAGGGGCGGGCAGGACTGCCAAAAAACGAGCTATAGATACAGTGTCCGAAGCGCATTTAGAGCCGGGACCAAAAGGACCAAACAGGGCAAACACTGCACGTATTTAATTCAATGGCCGGCCCTTTTTGTTGCCAACTGGCACATAACATACTAGAATAATATACGTAGCATTATATTCAGACTGGAATAGGGAACATGCCTCAATTGGTGGCCATTAAAATGCATAAATGTTGAACGGTTTTTGTGCGCCCCGAGATGAGGCAGGGCAGTCATAACTAAATACGTCACGACTGGCATTGGTTGCTATAGCAGTAGGTGCTGCAGTCGGAGCAGTTGGAGCAGGAGGAGGAGGAGGTCCTTCTGGCCATTTGAATTACTGTGAATGGTTTTTGGATGCGATATGCAATGCTCTCGAATGCCTTATTTACATGCTGCACATGTTGCAGGTCGTGTCTCCCGTTTCTGTACTTTATTTTTGATATCCCTGCACAAAGGGATCCATAAAATTGAATGGGAAGTTTGCAAAGGAAGTTGTGGCTGATTTTATGTGAGTCCTGCCCGGGGCGGTGAATGCACATTCAGGTGCTCGCCTGCAGTGTCGAATTAAGTTTGTTTTCGTTTCCCAAATGGTGACAGTGTTTTGATGACGTTAAAAAGTGAACTGTGGGATGCACATTGTATTGTAGGGTATCCACCGGATCGGCCAGTACTCTATCATAGAGCAGAAACAGGGACCAGTACCCTGGACCGAACTGCATTAAACATTTATAATTGCAAGACAACAGCCGGCCGACAGTCGACCGATGCCATGTCTGCGATGCGTCAGTCCCATAAAAATGCAAAAGTATTCAGTGTGAAGTGGCCAAGTCCTGGCATGGGGGCGGACCAGGAGGGGCGATGCCACGATGGGAAAAAAACTGAGCCGGGATTGCTGCTTTTTTGCAGGACTCGCTTCCTTTTTGCTCACAGTCTGCATTTACATTTTCGTAAACCTTTGAAAGGTTGCCGGGCCGGGCTAAGCGAGCTGAATAAAATGTTGCCGTCTTAAAGTCACGCCGGGGGAGGGAGCACCTCCGAGGGCTGTGGCAGTAATGAGACAGCTGTAAAAGCACTGCTCCACTGCGCCGTGTGTTGTGTTAATGTTGTTAGGCTCCAGCATAACCAGCATCTTCTTTTCAGCTAATGAGAAATCTGTCTCTCCCCCCCGTGGGGTTTGGGGCACAAACAGCATCAGCGGGCACAAAATAATAAGCACAGGCAGGAGGCGCATTGAAGGATTTTAATTAAATAGGACTGACGGGGCTCTGAGGAGCGTTTTTGGGGCCTGGAGGATGATGGGCATACAATTTATATCCGCACTCGTATTCGTACATATGCGGCACAAAGAGATGAAAGTCCCGCTCAAGTGGATGCTGTATCCTAATTTCAAGGATGCATGCCTCACAAGAGGCCTCTTCTTCTTGTGGAGGATAGACTTTGTTAAAGTTGCACACGAAAACATTCAAAACTTGAATCGAATATTTGACGAGTAAGTCGTGAGTCATCTGTTAGCCATCTTATTTTGGAGCAACTTCAGTCAGTTACCAAAGTGTGGTTGACCTTTTGCGAGCGTGGTCGGCGCATGGCAAATGCCAGTGCTGGCTGTACCCGAAAAGGAGAAAGGTCACACTTGATGCTAGCACAGGGTCATCACAGCTTCGGGCACACTCTGGGCATGCGCAGACGGAGCCGCGGCCCGAAAGGGGTCAGCCGCCAAAAAGCGAGCATAACTATCAATTTCATGGATGTTACGACAAGAAACCGTTCACTCAATCATCACTTTCCACGGCCGACACTTTCCCCCCGATGGTCCCCCCCGGGGCATGGTCGCCGTGTCTCATCAATCAAGTTTCCACTAAACTAGTAGTACTTTGCGCTCGCGAGGTGAGAACAAGTTTTAGGGGCATATTCGCAGTCTATATATATCCGCTTAGGCATCTCAACTTTTTCACAAAACAAAACACAGGCGGGGTCTTAATCGAGCGCGTGATATCATCCCATGAGCTTCAGTCTCGGCCTGGCCCATACTCTTCTTACCTGCTAAGATGGCTGCGAGAAATACAAAAACGATCCGTGTCATGGTGTTCTGCTGCTCGACTTCCTTTGGCTTCCTTATGTGTGTTCCTGTAATCCCAAGTTTATTTTTTTTGCTGGGTTATTGCTTTATTTTGTCACTCCCGCGTTATTTGGCAAAGGGCTTAGTCGAGGAGGAGCGTGGTGCCGAGAAGCTAGCTTTTTTGTGTTGTGGTTGCACTTGCTTTAGCTTTTCATGCATAAAATAAACTGGCGGGCGGAGTGGTGGAGGTGGCGAGTACTTCTCTGCAGCACTTTACGGCCGTTGAGGCTCTGGTTTATTTTTTATGTCGCCAACGGGTGTGTTTCGAGGTTAGTGTGTGTTTGTGTGGGTTGTGGGTGTGTGAATTTTAGCGCGCACTGTGGTTTATTGAACTCCCAGTAAGATTTCACTGCGTTAGTTAGTATCGGTTCTCACTTATCTCAGATCTCAGATCGCCACCGTCGTAGTCGGATCTTTGCAATCTGAAGGTGTGCTGCCAACTAATTCGAGATTATGGTACAGTGATAACCACTGGTACACGCACACTGCTACACGCAACCGCCGCGATGACGTTGTGAGGGAAATGACTTCGGCAAGCGCTTAGAGGGCCGGCTACGAGCGTATCTGTGTCTGTCTTGTATCTGTATCTGTATGTGTGTCTGACCCGAGCGTATCTGACGAATGCTTCGAGAAGCCGAACGAAAACGACGAACCGTCCGGACTGTGAGAGTTTAGAGCGACCGAAGCGATGTATGCAACAGTTACCAACCGACTGAACGACTGTTTATAAAGTTGCCAAGCGGCCGTGGAACATGGGGCAGCCAGCGCTGTCGACGACGACGCGACAGCGACGCCGACATCGAAGCGGCAGCGCCCACCCCCAATACGACTCATATGCGAACGCCCCGACGGCACTGCGCTGCCCCGAAATGTAAGCGTTTTACATATGCAGTCGACGCCGGCTGCGCTGCATTGCCCAGTCATGGGTTGATGTTGCCGGCGATGTTGCTGGCTGACGGCAATGTTGCTGGCGGGCCGCAGATGTTGCTGCTGTTGGCGAGGCTGCAGCATGCGCGACGAGCTAGCAATATTGCGTGTTGCCAAAGGATGTTGCCGGTGCTCGTTCTAGTTTACGGTCTGCAGCGACTTTCTTGGCACTCGAAGGGTATATACTACGGGGGATGACTCATGAATAGTGCCAATGTTTATAAATATTTAACCCTAATTTTGTTTTTGGTGGAAAAACGGACAAGCGACAAGGCTAGATTTGGTCTAGACCAGTGCCCTTGTTCTTTTCAAGAACCCTCTGTTCTTTCTGGTTCCAATGAAAACTAATTTAAGATCCTATTATTCCACAAAATAGTTCCAAACTAGGATAAAGCAACAGACTTGATGTAATGCAAGCGGTATAAAGAAATGTGGGGCGAATAGTAAGCTGAAATAAACAAAACCGGAGAAACAAAAACACTACAAACCAAAACAGGGCTGGGTATCGGGGAATTCGATTCGAGGGCTTTCTTTCTCCGAGTTGTTATTGTTGCTCAGTTTGATTTGAATTTGTTCGCCACTTGTGTATTGCAGTTGTAGTTGTTGATTTGGCCAAGTTTGCTCTCAGCCTGTCGCCGATGCTGCAGCTTCTGTCGGATTTCTGTCTGTTTGTCGTTTGATAATCTGTCCCCCATGCCCCGACTCCTGCTCGGCCGGCACCCATTTCTCGCAGCTCTTGTTTGCTCATCGTCGGGTATTCGAGGGGGCACACACATTCGGGGAATCTTGGGCACAGTGGCTCCTCGTTCTGGTGGCTGATTCCCCGGACGCTGCCGCAAATATTGAAGCTTCCCGCTGTGTTTGCCATTGCCCCAGATCTCTCTCGTAGCTTAGACTGCGACTCTGACCTGACCCACTGTGATTCGAACAAGAGGAGCTCTTTATTCGCCAAAGATTCTATCTGAACTTGTAGGTTTTCAACCGAATAATGCACATTTATGACGTGTTTTGTGCCATTTGTGTCTTGAATTTAAGATTTACCCATGCCTATAGCTTCTTAAAGCTCTGGAATCACTGTCCCGTAATGCATTTACTTCTGCATTATTACACTCGCCATCCGGCCGCCCAGCCCAGCCCAGCCCCGCCCGGAAGCCCGCCATCAAACACTATTATCGAACATTTTAAATTTAATCAAAGCGCACATTCAATAAGCTCTGGGCACAATTTTCTAAACGAAAAGGTAGACCTCAGCAAACGCATAGAAAGTAATACCCTTTCGTTTGGAAAGAGTTGCTTGATTTTTGGCAATAAGTTGTATATTTTGGGAAAATATGTATGTGAGTTAAGAACTTGTATTCTGCATTCTTAGTGCCCCTTAGGGAATATGCTAAGTCAGCTTATATCTGTACTCTGTGCAGCCTCCTTCGTCCTTTCACAACCTCCCCTTCCGTTTTTTGTGTTTTTTTTGGTCGCCTGTGCATTTTGCATGCAATAAAAATATCGCATGCTATAAAGTATGTGTGTTCAGTGTTCAGAGCTCTGGAAATTGTAAATTCCTGCTATGTGTCCAGGCAGGGTTGGGTGTGATGCGAGGGGGATGCTGCCAAAGGACGGCGGTCTGGCCGAAGCTGCTGAGAGCAGACAGCATGTGTTTATTGCCAGCACAAAATGATGATTACACGTAATGTGTAATGGTCAGAATGGGGGCGCCCCAAAGAGAGGGGGCGTAGCTTTTCCGTAGTTCTGAGTGCGGCGTGTAAAGCCCCGGAAAAGCAGCCGGAATAGCATCAAGCAGACTGCAAAAACAAACAGGCGTCTCTCTGCCTGCCAGTGGCATCTCCTTGGTTTTGCCATTTTCCTGCTGTTTCCGACACAGCCTCCCCCGTTACAGCTTCCCCGCTTATCCCTCCTGAAACTCTATTTTCCATATGTGTTGGCTGCCTCACAACAACACTTTTGCGGCAACACGCCCCTCATCCAGCCTGCAACAAACTAAGACAATTTTGAAGCTTGCTTTCAATTTTTGCAGAGCATTCCTCTCTGGTTAGTTTTTAAATTGGTGCTTCAAGGTCCATTTTTGGCCAAATGGTAGTGCCACCATACAACACATGAAAGGCAAAGTCATATTCCATTTCCATTTAAGGTCCACATCCATTGGATCTGCGTTTACAATTTATTAGGCAACGTAATTCATGTTTTCCATCAGATCCCGAATCTCCCACGCTGTCGGCCAGGGGGGTTGTGTTTTTATTTTCTTTGCCAGTCACTTCCATGACATTGTTCCAAATGGCCAAAAAAATAATAGAAGCTACATGCCCAGAATGAACTGAAATAATAAGCGGACGGTTTAATGAAATGAGAAGCGCCTAAAAGGGGGCAGCTGGGAGGGGACCCTGATGTGGAAACATGTAAAGCCAAAGAGCCAGGGGAGCTTTTCTATATGAAGTTACCCAAAAACATGTAAATTAAGCATCAGGTGAGGGGGTGCTAGTGTACCGGAGGGGGGCTACCAGAGGTCTGTACGGATGAGCGAGTAAGACCTTGCATTACAATTGAGTTACAGTTTCAGTTTCAGTTGGGCTGCCTTCCCTGCAGTGGCCAGTGGAGGAGGAGTGTAGGACTACGAAGGGGCGAGGGGTCAGAGGTCGCCCCGGAGGCAGGGCGGTTGTTTGCTGGAAACCCATGTTCATATTGTGCGAAACAATGAATTTATATTCGTTCGCTCGTTTGCAACTTTTTTTACTTTTTGTTGAGTTATGGCTCTACTTTTACATAAACACCAAGCTGCCACACAAAAGGGTGGGGAGGTGGTCCAGGAGCGGTAGGCAGGAGAATCAAGGAACGAGGACTAAGGTTTACTAACTGCAGTTAGAGCTGCGAAAGAATGAGGTACTGGAGCCGGGTCACTCGGAGGCGGCTTAACACATTTGACTCTTTTCGAACGCCGCCCCTGCAACAGCCTTGCAGCCCCCTGCAACACCCACGTGGCACCTCCTCACGCCCCACTTCCACGCCCCGAGGCTACAGATTAAACTGTGCTTGTAATGAGAATTTCTGCCCTCCTCCGCCGACTCGACGATGATGACGAGGTGGCTGTCGGGGTGGTGCAGTGCCAGCATATGTGAGGGGCAGAGTGGGCGGCCGAACGGATTGGGCCTCTGGCAATTTGCATTAAAGTCAGCTCCTTTTCTCCCGACACATCCTTTTTCGAGTCGTGAGGGCTTGGCGTTCATGCCACACTCGAAGGACTGCAAAATTTAATACAGAAGGTATCCTTTTCACACCGTACTTGTGTATCTGCCTACAGTCTGAAAAATATACATGACTTTGCTATTAAATCAGGGAGTCTAGGCAACAGGTGGAGGACATTAGTTTCCTGCTGGCATTAGACACTTTCTCTCAGTGTAGCTCATTTGAAACAAAAGTTTGCTGATGCAGTGCAACATGCTGCGGTCGGCTGCCTCCAATTGGGATTCGAGTGAGCATAAATTAAAAAGCTGTGTCCCCGAAAGGAGCGTATGAGTTGTCCTTGCCTGAGCTGCCTTAGCCACCCCCTAGCCCTAGTTGTGGCCCCCAAAGAGTCCCCGGCCCGCGGCGAGCAGCAAACTGCAAACTATTCGCACTCTCGGTGTTGCTACAAATTGAGATTTATGTGTGCGAAAGTTGCATAACCTCAGCCAATTGTGTCTCTGCGAGTTGTCCCTTTCCCTTTCCCCATCATGCCCCCTCTTCTGTACTTTGAGTGTGGCCTGGTGACCGTCTGGGAAAATGGGAAATGGCAACTGGCAATGGGTTAACAGTTTCCAGCTGTGGTTAAAAAACTTTGCCAACTTGTCGCCTTTTGGCACAGCAACCTCGGCATCGAGGGGGGTGCTGCTTCCGTAGTCCTGCGATCACAAAGTTTCTGGCCCAGGGTTATGGGAGCTTCGGCGGTGCATAAGTACTGGACTGGGAGTCTCTTTGGAGTCTCCAACTCGAAGATACAAAATGAATTTTTGAGACACAAACACAGAACTAATCCAAACTAATGCATTGCGTTTTGTGCTTTTGGGACTAGGGACAAAGGACTACATTTTAAGCTTTAAAATTTTTAAGAAAAATGTGTTTTTTAAGGAAATATTTAAGGTTTAATATTCCTTCCCGATCACTAGCAACATGTTGCTGAAGAGTGTTCCACTTCCACCGCGTTCCCCACTCTGTTAACCTTGGGGATCTGCTCTGTTAAGTCGCTGTCAAGCTTAACGCCGCTGTTAGGCCGACGTCGACGTCTACCGCCCCATCCGCCGACGTCATTTGTGACTGTACCTTTTGTACCTGTTGTTGGCCGGGATTTGTTGTTATTGTTGCGGCTCCCCTCCTGCACCCCGCTCTCAACACTGTTGGCTTTCCGAAATTCGAATGCTCTTTGCGCGCGCTTTTGTATCTTTGTATCTATGCATCCATGCAGCCAAGTATCTGTGTGCGTTCTGTGTCTTTGTGTCAGTGTATCTTTTGTTTGTTTGTTTGCTCTGGCTGCTACCTTTTGGCTCACGTTTATTTTCATTGCTTTTTTCCCGTCCAGACCACATTTTCTTTTAACCAAAAACCGAACCAGCAAACGGTCAAGCCCGAAACGAGAAAGAGAGACTCGAAAGCCAAGCTGTGACTTGGTCTTTGTTTGTTCACCGAGCTGCCCCCGGTTTACTCTCCTTTTCAGCAGCTACGTGCAACGTTTTCGGAGCTTTGTGCGTCTTTCTGGTGCTTCGTTTTGGGGTCTCCACGCTAGATTAGATACAGATGCAGCTACGAAAGATACAGATACGA